CACACACACACACACACACACACACACACACACACACATATATATATATATATATATATATATATATGGGAGGCTTTTTAGTATTGGAGAGCCAGGATTATTTGTGGCCTTTAGATAATTTTGAGCAAAATATTTACATATAAGCTGACTCTATAAAGGCACTTAGTAAGGTGACTATGTCTCCTGTGGTAGAGGGGGCACTGACCTCTTTTGTTTTAAATGTGATCCTTCCAATTAGAATAACTGCATCACTTGGTGGAATTAGCATTTTAAAAAGGTCTCATCAGACCATTTTGCTGAATTATTTATGTCTGCTTTACCAAAGCCACAATAACTAGAAAGAAAGAGGTTCATATGTATATGTGTGAGGTAAAAGCATATATTAGCAAATTAAAGCATACAGAGAACATAGGTAAACTAAGCATTCTGTCTGAATGTGGTTAGCCACACAAAGTTAAATGAAACACTCAGAGAAACTACAGCATCCAAACACTGAGATGGAGCCTCCACAACATCTGATATGCAATTTAAGGTACTCGTGGTCACCCAGAAAGACCTTCATGGTAGTGGGCTGGGTTATTTGATCATCTCTCCCCAATGACGTCTACCTGTCCTGTTAGATCCAACAGGAGAGATATGGCATGGATAATATCATTAAAGGAATGCCATCTTGCAGGACTTGGGAAACAAACTCTTTGTGTTGCAATGCCTGTCCTTTGGAACATCCTCCCTCCAGAAATTAGATTGATTCCACCTCTTCCAGCCCTTGCTTAACCCTGAAGAAAAGCCTATGTGCTCAGGCATGTGATTGGACTAAGAGCCACAGTGGTACAGTAGTTAGAATGCTGCAGGCTAACTCTGCTGACTGCCAGTTGCCTGCAATTTGGTACTTCGGATCTCACCAGGCTAAGCCTTCCATTCTTCTGAGGTTGGTAAAATAATGACCCAGATTGTGGGGGGCAATATGCTGACTCTGTAAACTACTTACAGTGAGATATAATAGTGAAATAATATAAAAGTCTAAATGCTATTGCTAAATGTATATTGTTAGTTGCAGCCTTAGGAAGGTTATGTTAATTGTTGTTGATTGGCTTTTACCTTGACTGCCAGTCATGTATTTTATGTTTGTTTTTTCAAGTGTTGTTAGCCATCACTCTGGTGCCGTGGGTGACCATTTTAAATAAGTAAGTAAGTAAGTAAGTAAGTAAGTAAGTAAGTAAGTAAGTAAGTAAGTAAGTAAGTAAGTAAATTCTTCCTCTTGCATTAAGCACATTCAGAATTCTTATCTCTTCCAAGAAAATGAATTTTAAATATAATGTACAGTATTATTATATTATTTTCTAAAATTTTAACTAAATATTAAACAGTTTAATTAGACATTAAATTAAATAGATTAGGCCACCAAAATAAAATAATTCCTAATAAAATCCCTTACTTTAGAAATAGCAATAGCAATAGCAATAGCAA